TGCCTTCTCACTTACAAATAAATATTTCACATTTCAAGGAGTAGCAGTAACATTTGATTAATCTGCTTAAGCCAGAAACTTTAGTACTTTCTTTAAGCACGTCTCCTTTGTCTGGTCTGTTACCAGCACCTATTAATTACTCTCTCTTGTCTCCATCCATGGCACTATTCCATTGCTGTTGCCACTGTGTCTCCCTACCTCCAGTCTTACCACATTTCGCATTTTCATACCATATCATAAAACTAATATTTCCAGTTAAATGCAGTTAAAATGTTCTGTTTATATCATTTCCCTGTCTGTCGAACACCAAAGTTCTTCCTCTTTAACCACCTTTTATGACGATTCCTAAGTTGAAGCTTTAATCACCATTCAAGATGCTTTCTAAATAGCTCTCTGTTATAATAAATCCATTGATTCACTTAGTATTTTGAAGCATGCAATTAATTTTGAGGTTAGTCTTTGCTCTTTTAAATGCCATTTTTGTCAAGATTAATTCTTTGTGCAAGAAATCATTTATAAAAAGGAACTGTGGATAGATCGCTTCATTTAGATTATACTTCTTTGTCAAGGAAAGCAAAGTTACCTTAAGAAACATGGGCTTACAGAGAGCTCTCTTTCACAAAACAATCATAGAGTTCAAATACTACTGTCATTAAAGAAGAAAAATAAAATATTAGATAAGAATATGAAGAATATTTGTATTCATAGTTTATAGAGTACATTCAATAGTACTTAGCTCACTTATTACTACAAATACCCAAAGAGTAGATACGATTTCTCCTTTTCAGAGATTAAACAATAAAACTGACTTGTCCATTCCCTTTCAATGTATACCATGTGGCCTTGTCTTTAGACAAGGCTTTTTAATTAAATATCATGTATAAACTATCTGTAAGATAATGAAGCACTACTGTTCAGGTAGATGACTGTCTACTATAAAGGTTTTACTTTTAAAATTAGAAGTTTTAATTTTAATGTGAAGTGATCACCAATGTCCTTCCATATACTTATTAAATCTCAGTCTATTCCAAAAGTTTTGGTGAACAGTAGAAATGACATATTGCATTTGAAAACCATAGCAACATGCGACTGGAAACCATTTTAACTGTTCAAAAGTTAGACTTTTGGCTCTGTTTAAAGGTCACACCTGAAAACATCCTGATGATGACAATTGCTCCACACATTTTAGATGGTACTAGCGAAGACCTGTTGGCAGTAAATGTGAGTTCTTATTCTATTCCCTGGTAATCAGTCTCAGAGTGAAGAGAAGGCAAGGGGCTTTGAAATTAGATTTATAACTTCTCTTGGTTTCAATATAAAAATAAATCATATTTCTATCTACTGCAAATTTAACAATTTAATCATAAAAAATACTTAGTGCTCTAACTAAAGCCAAGAAGCATTTTCCTAAAGGTAAGTTTCAAAATACTTGTCCTCCCTACCATTTTGGGATTTAAAATCTGGAGCTAAAATCTGGTTGAATAATAAGTACATACTCAGAGCCCTTTCTGGGGTCCACACACCATTTGTTTTTATAAATCATGTTCTATCTTTCCTGTCTGATAAGATTGCTTCTGGTACATGGCAGATAAACAATAAGTGATCATTGAATGAATACTAGACTACAGAAAATTTTACTTCTTATGATTGTTTCTATTATTATTAATAGTTATTGAGTAATAATTATATATCAGATACTATGACAATCACTTTACATATAGTATCACACTACAGGGTAAGATCTAGTCATTGTTAATGTAATTCTACCAAGAAGAAAACTAACACAAAAAGGTCCAGTTTCACAGTTAAGTGAAAGGTTCAGCATCAATACTAGTAATCAACTTTACTCAATCTAACTTTAGTGCTTAAAATGCATCAAAGACTCACCTAGAGTGTAAATTTGTTCAACCACTTTGGAAAGCAGTACGGAGGTTCCTCAAAAGATTACACATAGAGCTCCCCTATGATCCAGCAATCCCACTTTGGGGCATTTACCCAAAGGATCATAAACAAGGCTATACTAAAGCTACCAGCACAATTATATTTATAGCAGCATTTATTTACCATAGCTAAGATATAGAACCTACCCAGATGCCCCTCAGGAGATGAATGGATCAAGAAAATGTGATATATATACATATATATGAATTCTATGCCTCCATCAGAAAGAATGACATTGCCCCATTTGTTAGGAAAATAAAGGATTTGGAAAATATATATTAAGTGAAGTAAGCCAGGCCCAAAGAAACATAGGTCCCATGGTTTCCTTTATTTGCAATAAGTAGTATATATCTAGGACTAGCTGAAAAGGTCAAAAGCTATGCACGTATGACCATATAAGATGATGTTAAGTGAAATGAACCTCAAGATAGTGTTTTTTTCTTTCTTGCTATTGTTTTTAACGTATTTATAATATACTATGTGATTTTTTTTTTGTTTCTTTGATATGTTCTTTCCCCACAGTATAACCCTGTTTTCACTGTATTTGATTCTGGTGCCCTGAATCTTGTATATTTGAGGAGGGGAAGGGAAATAACAAAACGCTTAAAGAAGGATACAGGTTGACCCATTGTAACAATGAGATGTACAAGACACTATGTTGAAATGAACTTTACAATTTTGGCTGGGGTGGAGGGGGGAGTCGGGAGGCGGGGGAGGAGTTGGAGAGGTGGGGAGGGAAGAGATGTTAGGGGAAAAACAAAGGAGGAGGTAAAAATGCTCGATAGGAAATGCACTCAATACCTTATTCATGTAACTGTAACCCCTCTGTACAGTATTTTCACAATAAAAAAAAAGTTATTAGTAAAAAAAAAAAAGACCCAACTACTCTAGCTAGATTCTAGAAAGAAGAGAAAAGATAATAACTAAGTAAACAAGAGGTCAATATTATTTCCTGTAGTAAATAAGGCTATGGAAAAGGAAGATAGGACTATTTAATGGAAGTGAGTAGAGCAAGCTAGGTGTGCTAGTTTATGTCTGCAATCCCAGCACTTGGGAGGATAAGGCAGGACAGCCTGGACAACACAGGAACCTGTTTCAGAAGAAAAAAAATGAGCAAGGCAGAAAAATGGTCATGAACATTTACTCTAGCACCAGATTTGAACTTCAGTTCTGTCTTTAAGGGGTAGACTATTATTAATTTATCTTTTTTGTATTTTCCTATCTACAGAAAAAAAATTACCCAATTTCTATGAGAGTCATGAGATTTGATTGAGTTAATATACTAAAACACTGCCTGACACAAAGTATTATTTAAGCATTTGCTTATTATTGCTAGTTATTTCCTTCCTTCCTTCCTTCCTTCCTTCCTTCCTTCCCTCTCTTCTTTTTCCCCCCCTCCCTCCTTGTCTGCTTTCTTTCCTCTTTCCCTCCAGTGAGGGTCCTACACTCTGCCTTGAACTCATTATGAAGTTTAGCCCACAGTCAAATTTATAATCCTCCTACCTCCACCTCTCAAGTTCTATACAGACATACAATACCACATCCTGCTATTTCTTATTATTATCACATTGAGGTAGAGATAGTGTGATCTGGGAAGGCTTCTACAAGGAAGTGCATTTAAGTCAAATCCTAAACAACACTCAGCAACACAAAAATTTAAAGATAGAGTTTGGAGGCAAAAGAAACTAAAGTACAAGCCAGGTATTGGTGGCTCACGCCTGTAATCCTAGCTACTCAGGAGGCTAAGATCTGAGGGTCATGGTTCAAAGCCATCCAGGTCAGGAAAGTCGGAGAGACTCTGATCTCCAATAAACCACTCAGAAAACCAGAAGTGGCACTGTGGCTCAAGTGGTAGAGCACTCGCCTTGAGCTGAAGAACTGAGGGATAGTGCCCAGGCCCAGAGTTCAAGCCCGACCAAAAAAAAAAAAAAGTACAGAAACCCCCAGAACCAGATGTGTGACACACAAGGCCAGGATGGGCCTGGATGAGCCTGCTACATGTAAAGAGCTGGTCAGCAACCGTGTAAACGAGTGACACTGGTTGTAGGAAGGAGTTGGACATTATTCTAAGGAGAAGCCTTGGGTGCTTTGTCAGCATGGCATTAACATGCTTTGTTTTACATTTTACAAATATCAATGCAATGAAAGTATCAATAACATCCATCTTACCATTAATCCTTACTTTTCAAATCCTGTTTTTTTCCCCTGCAGGGTAAATAATTCTCTGACTGTAGTTTTCAAATTTATAATAGTGCTTTTAAAAGTAGAATCAGATTAAAAGACTTAGCTAGATACATACATATGTTCATATATATGTGTGTGTGTATAGATACATAGATAGATACATATCCAGCGTGAACAAAGATTATGTAAAATCACATGTAGACCATATTTTAGGATTCTAAAATTCGTATTAAACATATTTATTAGGTTAACAGTCACAACCCTTTATAGGAGAGCCATTGAATGGTTTAGTTGCCTGTCAATTAGACAGAGGAAGAAGAGACTTTGGGGGTTCCACTTCTCAAATTTCTGTCCCACTGGCCTTACCAGTTAGTTATTAGCTCCTTCTTTCTCCAGAGAAAGAAAATAGTGCAAAATGATTGGTTGGAACCAGGAAAAATTTACTAATGGATGTTGCTACTTTCCTTAGTCTTCCTCTTAGGCTATATTCCTCTCTAAATTCTTAGTGATTTAGCAAATTGAAGCCCACCTTGGCCACAATGTCCTACCCAATCTCACCAGATATCCTGGGTATGGTTCTCTGGCCTCAAAGTAACTATGTTAATTAGTTGATAACACGTGTGGAGAGGGATAAATTATGATGGAAAAAGAGCATTTCTATTCTACTAGCATACAACATTAAATCATCAACCTTAATATTTAACACTTGAAGGACTATTAGTGTAGTTAAAATATTATGTTCAATACTCCTTACATTACCACATATGTGTATAAACAGAAGTATACCTTACAAGAGGACATTTTTGAATCTTCTTAATTCATAAAGGTTCAGTTTTAAAAGTTAAAATATATAGGTATATAAATGAACAGTTTACCTCTTTGGTCAGGTCTTTCATTATTGCCTTCTGTGGTTTCAGCAGAAGAGGTGGGTGGACTAACAGGAGGGCTGGAAGTAAAGTTTATACACCCTGTAGATGTGTTGATTTCAAAGTACTCTTGATTGTGATTCATTCGATGAAAATCCAGAGATGACACAATGGATGTTCGCTGTTTTGGCTAAAAATAAGAAAGCACGATGAAATCATTAATATGATAATATTCCCATCTATTTAACCATCTATATTCCCATCTATTAAACTAATCTTTTTTTTATTCAGTTAAACTCTGTGGGTTCTGTACTTAAAAAAGAGATACCACACACTCACTCAACTTAGTGAACATATTATTTAATGACAAAAAATCATGGCATAATTGTTATAATTTAGGCATTTCATTCGATTCAACACAGCATGATAGAAATATAGTACTCAGCATTTCTCTTAATGATCCATTTAGAGAGTTGCAACTTTATGTCACCTTTCATTCAACTAACATTTATTAAACATCTGGCATTTGCTAACCCTACAGGTATAGGATCTAATAAAAGGTCTCTTACAAGACTGAAGTATAATTAAAGCAGTTCTGTTTTTTTATTCTTTATATAGTTCAAGGAATGGTGGCATTGGATATTTTCCCAAATTATCATATGCTGGAATTTAATCATCAGAAGTAAGTGAAGTTCCATGGAATATTCTCCAGGACCAAAGAATCTATTTGGAATTCATAGTGAGCTTTGATTTTTTTTTAAGGATTTTAATTAATCCCACATAACCAGAAAAGTCAATTTAAGCACAAAAGTAAAAATCGTGGAATATTGGCAGATATAATCTACACCCTTTGTCAATAAAGGATTATTCCTTATAGTAGATCTTTGTTCTATCAATAGTACCCAACTTCTTTCTTCTTACATGAAGTTTTAAAAATTTGTCCTTTGGAACCACTGAAATCCTTCTGTCTCACAGATGTGCATAACTTTCCCAAGAATCAACCTGTTTACTTTTCATTCTTTTATTAATATTATTAAAATATTAATAATTTCTTGTAATAATCACAAACATCATCTCTATATAACAAGATAAAGTTTATTATACATTTACCTTCTCAATAATACAAAGATTTTAATTTTCTAATATTTTTGTTGCTTTCACTATCTTGTAACTCACTGTACTCAAATGTCTAGCCTCTTCCAAATCATCATAATTTAATCTTTATGTAGATACCAGTTAGTATATAATCTAAAGCAACTGAGTGGAAGACATCTGCATTTTGCAGAATGTTTTAAAATACAAGGTATAAAATCATCACAATATGCTTTATTCTTTCATCACTGCAATATTTTTAATGAAAGAGGTTGAGAGGGATAAATATTATTATAGAAGAGAGCACAAGTCATTTATTATTATGACATATCAATTTGGTAATAGAATTCCAATTAGAACTCACGCAAAATTCAGTTGCTTTTGAAGTATGAAAGATCAGGATTTAATGTCAGGTTTGGTTTCTCATGAAATGTATGTCCTTGGGGCTACGAATCTCAATATTACATTCATTGCCCTTTCCACTAGAGTCTGGAACAGCAATTACAGAGGCACAAGCTACGACCATGGCTCCAATAGAAACACGGGTATAATCATTGTTCTAGGTTTTTTTTTTATTATTTTATGTTATAATTTGTTTTATTATATATAGATAACAATTTGCTATACTGTTTCCTCCTATAAGTAAAAGTTAAGCCAACTGATATATGTGATCTCCTTGTAAATGTTTTTAAAATATGCTCTGAACTTAGACCACCCAGAATTCTAATTGCAATAAAATGCCAGATGCCAGTGGCACATATTTATAATCCTAGCTACTTGAGACTCTGAGATCAGAAAGAACATGGTTCCAGGCCAGCTAGCAAAAAGTTCATGAGCCCACCATCTCCAAAGGAAAAGCTTTATGTAGTGACACACACATATTATCCTAATTACAACAGAAAGCAAAAATAGGGGGACTCAAGTGCAGACTAGCCCAGGCTAGTCTTAAGAAATAACCAAAAAATCCTGGAGGTATGGTTCAAGCAGTAAGGCACCTGCCAAGCAAATGAGAAGTCCTGAGTTCAAACCACAACAATATTACTCAAACATAACAAAAATAAACACACACAAGACATATTTTTATATGGGACCTCTATATAGGACATTTTTCTGCATTAATTCATTTTATAAATATTTGCTGATTGTACACTAAATTACAGAGAATGATGAGCACTGCAATAGGAATAAAAATGTAAGACATTCTCCCTGTTCTCTAGGTGTCTGTAGTCAAGGAGGGAGGAAAGACCAACAACACAATGACTGTCAGCACAGTACAGAAGCTACAGTCAGCAACAGCCAAAAATGTAAGGAACTTCAAGGTGGGCCTCTACGTTAGGGTGAGGATCAGAAAAGGCTTCCCTGGGAGTTGATCCATAGCTCATTAGAAGCTTGATGAACACTGGTGAAAGGCAGACAAAACAGAATACAGAAAGTGAAGACAAAGCTGCAAATAGATCAGTATGGCTGTCGTGGTGTATGTGAAGGTAGGTGAATTTCAGGCAAGTTGCGGAAGCCAAGTTATAAAGGGGCCTCAATGCCACAGTAAGCAACAATGAGATGTTTAAGTTGTTATGTCGAAAAACGAACTTTACAACTTTGGTGGGGGGGGATAGGGCAGGGGGGGTGTGGGGGAGCAGGGTATGGGAAGGGATGGGAAGGGGAAACAAAGGAGGAGACAACAATGCTTGATAAGAAATGTACTCATTATCTTGCCCATATAATTGTAACCCCTCTGTAGGGTATTTTCACAATAATAAAAAAAAAAGACTACTTAAAAAAAAACAAGAATAACCTGAACATGTTAAATGACTACTGAAGATTTCCAAACAGGAGTACTTCAAAGTTTGGTTAGTATTTTAATAAACAAATTTTTAGCAGTTTAAAGAATAGATTTATAGGTTGAGGTGTAGGAAAGGAGACTAGTTTGAGAGATGTTATAGATTTCCAGCCAAGACAGGGTATGGTCATGCAACAAGACAGTAGACATTATTTTTTCAGAGATAGGTCTCACATTTTTGCCTGGGACCAGCCTTGGAGCACAGACTTCTTACCTATTCCTTCTGTATGTATAGGTTATAGACATGAAACACTATGTCCATGAATGTATCCAGATGCAGTGTGGTAAGGGTCTCACTAATTCCTATCTGACCTTGTACCATGAGACTTTGTATGCCACCAAGTAGCAGGATTGTAGGCATTTGCCATCACTCCTGGCTCTAGCAACTCTTGTCCTATAAAAGAATCATTTTAAACAACATTTTCATGCTCAATACAACCATATCTGTAGCTTTGCCTTTATTTCCCAGTCTCACTTGCATTTGATTGGGTCATGTAACTAACTGCAACTAATTGGTGGTATAAGTAAACTCTATCTCTCTCACTGTGATGATGTAGCTGCAAATTAAAAGAAGGTCATGCAACCCTCAAAAGGCTTTAGGAAGTGTTAAAGTAAACTTGTTTCATGCTAAGCCATTATGATCTGGGTTTGAATGTTATGTCAGATAGCATTGCTTACTCTACCATAACCAGAACAGGATGCAATGGCTAAAAGAGGCTCAAGGTTACATAAAGAGTTAGCCAAAGAGCCATACATCAGAAAGAAGGTTCATGTGCTCAAATCTAGGGACATGTGAATGGTATCTCAAAACACAAAAGGCAAAGGCAAGATTTAAAAGAGCCTTGCCTTTGGAGAGCTATAAATAGCAGTAGGAGAAACAATAATGGATAGTAGCAATACTAAACATGGAGATTAAAGAGGATGGGTTTAGAACATGCTCTTAAACTTTGATATGAATCCATTTTTAACTACTCAAATGGAATTCTGCTAAGCCATTAGGTATGAAAAAGAGTGTTGACACAGGTTCACTGAATTACAATTGGAGTTGTGTTCACTGTGGCTCATCCACTTTAAAAAAACCCCCTCCCTGTGGTCCAGTCCTCACATCTACTTTCCTAAGGACTTGAACCCACACATATTAACTTAGCACACATCAGAAAACTGCATCTCAGGGGCCACAACCAATTTTCTGCACGTTTTTATCAAACTTATAAGCTAAAAATGTTCTCCACATTTTTCATAGTTGAAAAAAATCAAGGGAAGTATTATGCTATTCACACATGAAAATTCCAAAATTCTGAATTAATTGTCCCTAAACATGGCTTTACTGGATTTTGCCATGCCTACTGGTTCTTGTCTGGCTGTCTTTCTGCTCCAGCAACAGGTGAGTGTTTACTCCAGAGCTATGAGAACTACAAAGCTTAAGCTATTTTACTTTCTAAACCTTCTCATAAAAAAAGCTTCTCATCCATACAAGACAGTGGTTAAGGATGTCTCTGAGGAACTGAAATTAAACAAACTGCAACGCCTATAAAGGTTCAGGACCTGCCACGAAAAGTTATTGGAACCAGCAAAACATGGAAAAATGGACTTCTTCCAAACAGTGTTTTCCATGATCTCTATCTTGATCTGTTGTGGTATTTTTAACTTTTTTTAAATTTGTTATTAATGTCTTACTCCAATGGGCACAGGGACAATCACAGCACAAGAGTAAATTCTTACACATCTCTGGGGACTCTGCTTTGCAATCAGTTAAGTGCTCCTGACCTTGACCCTCTCCACACTCAGGCTCTCACTGCTATGTCAGCGGTTGCTGGGGTGGGGAGTAGTGGTGGTACTAGGGTTAGGGGAGTTGATGGCCAAGAATCCCTCTGTGTAAGATAGAGATATGGTGGGATGTAAGACAAAGATCAGCAACTCCAAGTCAAGGGTAGATTCCATTATAACCCATATGCCTTACTGAAAAACACAAGTTCAGACATATAACCATTAAGAATTTTAGATGCAGCAGTAAATCTCAGTCCTCTGAGCACAGAACTGGCTGTGACTGCATTGGTTTCACACCCATGGAACCAGCCCAATCTTAGACAGAGACTGCTTGAAAGGGACCATGGTATCTGTTTGTTAGATGCACAGGAAGCTGGATGTATTTCTTATATTTGCTATGGATCTTATTTGTTAATCAGAACCTGTTATCATAAGAATATTTTTCTGCTGGGCACCAGCGGCTCACACCTGTAATCCTAGCTACTCAGGAGGCT